AATTCAAATGTAATACCATCCATTATACAGTGACCCACTTTTAACCTACCGTACAGCAGAGCGACACCCACTTGCTGACCTTTTTTTTATTTGATATTCAGTGAGAGTTGAAACCCACGTAAATCTCCACGTCCGGACCGGATCCCGAAGTAGGTAGCTGTTTTTGGTTATTATCGACCGAACCGATTGGATATGATGACGCGTAGTAGTCCGGCCGACGATCGAGCCAATGGATAGAAAAAAAACAGTTAACGTATTAATAATATAATATATTTCCAGCGATTTAGAAATCAACTTTGGAGTTTTAATGCGTCCGCGGTCGACTAGGAACAGATTATTATTATTATTATTATCGATGCATAAAAACTGTTACAACTTTCTGTGGATTTTCGATAGTGTTGTATACTACCGAGCAGGAACTCTTATATAGTTATAAAAGTAGGTCGAACAGCGGATGTCCTTAAAATATATATATAACATGGATAATAATGAATTATGTTATTTTAATTATATACATGTAGTGTTTGAAAATTTCATGAAATTTAAAAAAATGAAATATTTCGTGAAATATTTCATGAAATATTTCAAAATATATGAAATATTTCAGTATTTTAATAGATTTTGTTTTATTTTTAAATAAGCTTTATATTTACATATAATTGTCATAAATTACCTTCATCACTATATGGTACCTGTATGTACCTAACCTTTGGTATTATACATTTAAATTGGTATTCAAAATTTTTAAATATTTTAATGTTTAAATGATATAAGTAGGTATACAATATTATACATGTATATTTTATACTTACTGAATTCTGACATTAGAATTTAGAACACTGAACATTGTGTTAAAAAAATAAATAAATTGTGTTTTTATTTGTGTTAAAAAAAATTTCAATGTTTCACGTTTTTGTGAAATATTTCACAACTTAGTGAAATATTTCAAAATGAAATATTTCATTTGAAATATTTCATGAAATATTTCACATACTTCAAACACTATATACATGTATATGCTTGTCGAGTCCCTGTAAAAAAAAATTCCAAAGGGACACAAATCATCGTGAAGGAATTACACTCGAAGGAGACACGTCCAAGCTAATGCGATGCTGCACAACTGACGACACGTCACTCGGCGCACAACTACTCTCCGTCAACTGAAGTGGTGCTAAAGAGCTTTATTTTCGTCCTATATGTATAATGCAGGGGTACGTCTGTTAGAGTATATTAATAACAATAATAACGCATCATATTGAAATATTATAATATTTATATTCGGAAACTAATTGTATTTTCATAATTATAATAACTATAATACGCAGGAATTACGAGTATATATATAATCGTAAACGATATAATATTATTCTACGATTACGACCAAAAGAGGTATAATCAATACGGCTCAAACAATTATTATTTTTGGTATTGTCCGATTTTTGACTTTTTTAAGCATTTTTGCAAGTTTTACTTTTTTTGTACTTAACGATTGATAGTTGGTCGTGATGGTTATAAATTCAAAATATTATACCTGATCTCAATATATTATATTCTCTATATTTCCCATTAGGATTCAAATAACTAATTTTGTAAGTTTCAACGAATATTTCACTGTATTATACCTAGGTATACTATAACTCAATTTATAGGTATATATAGTTTATAGGTACTCATAAGAATTTCTGGTAGATTAGTCATATAAATAAGTACATAAAACATTAATACACAAACATAATATTACGGTTAAATAATATTCTTATTCACACCTAAGTTATAAAAACTAATTTGGACGGGGTAACCTCATTTAACTACATATACCATACTAAAAAAGTATTTTATGACTGACTATATCAGGTATTATAATAATAATATTGAAAATTTAAGGGGGCCTTGGGGAGTTTGCAAAGTAGTCATGTGCCTACCACTACTACACGCTTATATAGGTAGGTACTAAAATAATATGATATGGTTGCATATTGTATAATATTATAATATTATTGTACTCATCTTCACGTATAGGATTATGACTGCTCCCCGCTGGTCTGTTATAGGTATATAATATAATATACACAACACGATAACTTTAATAAGGAGTGGATGAGGGATTCAAAGGAGCGAGACATTTAATATAGGTTAGGTTTTTGATGCAGAATAAGCTCGAACGTTTAGCCCGTTTAGGCGTGCGCTTTATGTGGGGCTTTTTCTTCGCATCCGATTACCCGTTGGTTATCTTTGTGAGTGAGATGCGTCTGAAAAATCAAATTAACTTTCAACTAAGACATTTTTTTTTCGCATACAAATTGGATAGCTGAACCGAGAAAAAAAAAAGGACGACCATATTAAAAGGGTGGACTTTTGAACTTTTTTCACTCATGGCTTGACTCTTTATAAACGGGAATACGTAGGTATACATGTGTATATACGAGGAGCTGCAGGAGAAACGATATTATTTATTCCTTTCGGGACTAATTACCGACGTTATTTTTTTCATACACGTCATTATAATGTTTGACTTGGTAATTTTGATTCGTTTGTTATACATATTACCTATACCAAGTATTGTTCTTATATTAAATAATCAGCCGATTTTATTGAAAGTATTATTGTTGCGAGGTACATATGACCGTGAGCAATATAATTCTCTTAACCATAAAATATAGACACTATAAGCTTCATAAAAGAAATATAAATTGAAAACTCATGTTAAACGATTAATATATATATATGTAAAAACAAAAAAATATTGCAATAACTAATATTATTTAAAAAAAAAATTCAAATGTCAGCCAATGGTCATAGCTGCCGAGGTTTATTTCTAATAAAAAAAAATAATAAAAATAAATATAATCTTCTGTTTAATATTCAGAAACTATATTGTTCCGAATTTATTTGTAAAATAATTGTATAAATCTGTACAATCTCACATATTGTATAATCTCCTAAACAATTTACAGTAATTATGCACACTAATAGTATCGTCATAACTCCGCCGTGACTGTGTACGGTATATACACCGAGTGCCTACCTATATTATTCTCGAGTATATTATTATTGTTATTTTGTTATTATCATTTAAACTCAGCGGCGGACTTGGCTCGGAATTGGCCGACTGTCTCGTGCAGGCCCACCCGCACCGACCTATATAATGTGCAGGGGACGCGTCCGGAAAACGTATATATATATATAAATATTATTATTATATTATATTATTAACTTTATCGGACGTCGCTGCAGGAATGTCTGTTTGTTGCGAGTCTCCAGTGACGCGTCCGTTGATTTATTGCAGACGCGAAACGTATAATATAATATTATATATATAAAAATCGGGGAAATATATCAAACGTCTCTATTCCCGGCGGTATTCCCGGAAAACGCTACGTCTTCTGCGCCTCCGAGTTTGGCCATAAAAGCCTCGGCGGCGATGGTACGAGCACCAGGGAGGAGCAGTAGGTGAAACTTATATTGTTTATGGTGTATATAAGTAATGAATGTCTTGAGTGAGTTTTCGCCTTTACAGGTAGGTTTATATGTGTATATTATTATGCCTATATTATAATAATGATGATAAAACTCCCTCCTCGCGACCGTACACTTCCGTATTAGGTATAGAGGAGAAGATACTTGTGTGTATATATATATATACAGAGTCATAGGAGTCACTAGGAGTATCGAGGGGTATTTTTGCTACCCCAGACATTTTTTGGGGGTAGCAAGGGTATCATTTCGCTACCCCCCAAAAAGTTCCACTCGTCGTTATTACCCACACAGCAAACAAATATATTTAAAATTTTTATTAAATATTCCAATTCTAATGACAATATTTAATAATCGTTTGTTATTAATTTGGTATATAATTTAAAATATATAATAAAAGTCATATAAATATTTGTTGAACCAGAAACATTTATTGTTTAAATACCAAACACTAAACATTTATTAAACATTTGTAAACCAAAGTTGTAAAACCATTGTATTTTAATATTCCATAATTATTTATTAAAAGTCAATAAATGTTTTATAAAAATTGCAATTACATTTATTTAAAAGATTAAAAAATATTTATTTTATTGTATTTGGATGTTGGCATGTTGCCAATAGATATAAATTATAAGTAGTAAGATAAAAATATATAATAATATTATATTATATAATAATTAATTATAATTTAAAGTCAAATTAATTTTTAAAGTTTTATTAATACTTTTAGAGTTGACTTTTTTAGTTAACAAACAATACTAAACTTCATACTGAGTTATATTATATTATACTTGTACACTACAACTATAATAAATTATATATGCTTTATATATGGACATATTTACTAGTTCTTTACTACTTCTTATATAATAAGATACTTCAGGGCTCAGGCTCCATGCTTCATCGCACGAGTGAGATTTTACTACATAGCATACAAATGATTTTCTTATAGTGGGGGAGAAAAACTGGAGTTGCCTGGCCACAACCCAACAACAATTGCATGTCAACTGACTAACCACCTGAAGTTACTTTTATATGGGATAGCTGAGTACTTAGGCAGGAATTAAGTATAGAAGTAGGTATAAAATGAAATACTCAATATATATAATATAATTTATTGTTAAAAAAGTAAATGCAAATTAACATCATGAAATATAGCAAATATAAATCCAACAGTTATCTGCATATTAGCTCAGCATTTATTATATTCATCTGAAAATAATCATAAAATAAATTAAAGCACAGAATATTTTAATATCAAAGCCTGCAAGGTTTTTATGGTAATGCAACATTTATGTGATCAGAAAAGTTAAATTCAACCAAACTCAAATTTTATTTTATGATGACTTATTATATATTATATAATATTAATAATCAATAAATTATGCAGTCTTTAATTGAATATTAAGTGCAGGTTATACATTATTATAATATTTCTATATTTTAATCAATTCTTTATGATAATCGAGTCATAATGATTATTGTAGTTATAATTGTAAGAAATATAATATACTCACTATTATTTAATTTTGTGAAACATTTTTTTTATTGAATGGTGCTTGTGCCAAATTATATTTTATTCTTTCCTCAATTTCATCAACCGATGCAGTTTTGCAAGATTTGTTGCTTTTTTTAATAGAATCTAAAAAGAAAATAGCATTAATGTATTTTAATATATTGTTATAAACGGATGTCATATTTATATGACATAAAATCTTAGTCTCATTACATCTATTTTTGATATATAGGAAACAATAATGTAATAAAAAAATAATATAGGTGGTTTTCAAAAATTATTTGTATTTTTTTTTCAATTCAATATTGTAGTTATACAACTTATAAATATTAAATATCCAAAATATTGTGTTATTATTATAATAATTAACAAATTGAAATAAAATTGTAGGAGAATAGAATTAATTAACATTATATATAAATATGTATATACATGTGCATATACAAGTATTGATATCAAAGGGGTTTTGAATTATAATAAATAATTATACACAACTTACCAAAAATAACAGCACAAACAAACAAACTGTTGAATTTGTTTTTCCCTTTTTTCCCAGTAAACGAATATTGGGACATAAGTTTATCAGTAAATAATTTATTCATAATTCTTTTTACCATTAATTTTAAATTTTTTCCTCCTGTGCAAGATAATTCATTAACCTAATAAAAAAAAGTAATAAGTATATAATTATTTTTAACTTTATCAGTAAGTGTAATTATTTAACTACCAATTTGTTACGAAAACATTTATCTTCCGATAATTTATCTTCAAGTTTGTTAAGATCGAATATATTGTCAATTGGTAATGGACAATCTGTAAGGTCTTTGAATAGACTTTCTGATAATGTTTCTGAATTACTGAAGTTGTTGTCAGATGCTGCATTTTCGATTTTTCTAAGTATTTCTGATTGTCCAGATTCCAAATATCGTACTTCACTTGTCAAGTATGTAAGCATACGTAATACCTGCTTTTGAAAATCTGAAAATATTAACAAAATAGTCTATTATACTATTATAATACTTATAGTTTTAATTTAAATTAAATAAAAAGTTATTTTAATATTTTTTTATATAAGTATAAATTTAACAAAAAGTTATTGTCAAAATAAAAGATATTATTGCATGTTTACTACAGACGAATACAACTTTAGTGAATTTAGTTTTTAATTATTAATTTAAATCTATGAGTTTTTATGGTTTTCAACTAAAATAAAATAAAAATATAAAAACTAACATGTTCAACACAGTTTTTCAAGTTAATTTGTAGATTTCATTTTTAGAAATAGTAGTCTGCGTTTTAAACTTTTTATTTATAATTATTGATGTATTAATAACTATAATAGCTCATATTATATTATTATTATTATATTGTGATTATACCATTTGAATAGCGTTGAGGTGTAACTTCAGCTATGACGCCACCGGTTGGACCATCATCCTGTTTTACATGATAACTTTTCTTTTTACCGAAACAGTTAGTATGTGAGAAAGATGGTTCATCATCCTCAGGCTTATTGGAGCTAGAAAATAATTCTCGCACTACAGAATTTTTGTTGTCTGAAAAATACCAATTTAAATTAAAATATTAAAATTTGAACTATATAGATATACAAACACATTACCATTAATTTTAGAATATGGTGAACTATTTTTTTGTTTACTACTAAATGTATTCAAATTTGCAGTAGGTGTACATGTGGCTGGTGATTTTCTTTTAAATAGTGGATCACTATTATCTGAATCTAAAATTGTAAAACAGTTTAATATAATATGTGTCAAAATATCATTAAAGATTATTAAAATTTAATAAGAAAAGCACATTTTATTACATTTAACTTTTTTTGTTGCCAATAAAGGTTCACCGTGACTAAAATGTTTTTCAGCTACCACAACACCGCAGTTTGGACCATCCTGTTCTATGTAATAACTTTTCTTTTTTCCTAAAGAATTAGAATGTGAGAAGGATAACTCATACTCATCAGGACTATTGGAGTTTAACATTAATCCTCGCACTACAGAATGTTCATTGTCTGAAAAATACCAATATAAATTAAAATCTTCAAATTTGAACTATAGATATAGAAATGCATTACCATTAATTTTTGAATATGGACCAAGTTGTTTTTTACTACTTAATGAATCCAAATTTGCGGTTGGTGTATATGTGGATGATGGTTTTCTTTTAAATATTGGCTCACTATTACCTGAATCTAGAACTGTTTAATATTATAATATGTGTCAAAATATCATTATTAATAAGATTATTAAAATTTAATAAGAAAAGCACATATTATTACATTTAACGTTTCTTTTTGACAGGAAAGGTTCACTGTGACTGTACTCTCTTCCACTATATGATTTAAAAGTTGATGTAGAAGGTGTATCTTTGGATGACCACTGTTTTTTTAAATGGGGCTTTTTATTATTATCTAAAATTCAAAAAAATTACATATTTATTAGTTATATGTAGCTAGTAAAATAATTAAAATGGAACATGCTAATTTATAAATATAGTAGATTCAGTATAAATTTGTTGATAAAACAATATTACATTTCAATTAAGTAAAAATATATAATATTACCTTTAACATTTTTATCTGGACTACTCAATTTTAATGGCGACCAACCGTTTTGCTTTTTAGTTTTGTTATAATCAATGGTCTTAAGTGATTCACTTGTGACAGGTGGTGAATAGTTAGGTTCCTTATTATACCTCTGTTTATATTCAGAATCTATGTTTGTAATACAAACTACTTAGTTAAAAGTAATATCAATAATTTATTATCATAAATATAGCAAGAATAATAGTTTTTTTTTCAAAGCTGACGAAACAATAAATAGTAAAATATTTAGACATTAGAATATTCTTACCATCAATAATGGCTTCATGAGGATAATCATTTAATAATTTTGGCAATGGAGAACAACTACTAAAATGTTCATTATTATCAGAGCCAATCATAGTTGTACTAAACTTAGGTTTAGTGCTAGATTTTTTAGATGCTAGATCATTATCAGAATCTAAATTAAAATCAAATTTTCATAGTATTTTTATAATAGTATATCATTAAAATTGATAAATTCTAATTTTTATTAGTTCCTATAATAGATACATTTATTATATTACCTGAAAACAATGGGCATGAATTTGTAGACAAAGTAGGAGAAGATATTATAATTTCTTTATGGCGTTCGTTAGCTGAAACTGTTTCTTCTGTAGACGATAAATCAGACATGTACAAAGCTTTTTTAGATTTAGTTTTAGCTTCAACTAATGAATCTATAATAAAAACAGTTTTTTTTTAAAATAGTAAATTTAATAAGTACAATATACCTATGCACAAATTAATTTATAGAAATAATATACAAAGTAGACTAATTAAAAAATCTGATGAACTTGAAAAATTATTAGGTATGTTATTATATTTACCAATTCCTTTACATAATTCTCTGCATCTTAAATATGTATATTCAATCTGGTTAGGCATACATTTTTTTTCAATAAGCCGTGAAGCGGTTTTACTTTTGTTAGGCCAAGCACAAGTGCCATTTTTTTTGTCTATCCAATGCTCAGGGACAGTTTCAATCGAGTTGTCACCAAAAAAATGGACAATTGAATATGGCATGATCGATTATTGGTCAATAAAATACACACAAGTTATCCTAATAAAATATATACAATAAACATTTATAATACAACTAAATTACTACAACAGTTCAAAGTAATTCAAACTATTAAATAAATAAAACTATTTTTAAATTTTTTAATACCAAATGAGTACTATCATTATTTTATATTTTGAAAGCCTTAATTTTTAACTGTAAAAATATATATTTATATATATTATGATAGCCAATAGGTATGTATATATTGTAAAAACATACTACTATACTACTACACTAACTATTTAATGAATGTAGGATTGGAAGCGCAATTTGTTTGTTATTATTACTATTGAATACTACATACTTTTGAAACAGGTGATCTATAGTAATTGGTACAATATTTTTTGATAAATTGGAAACATATGCAATTCCCAGTTTTAAACTACTTATCGGTTTGTCATATAAAGGTTCAATATTATTGAATGACTTGGCAACAAAAAAATGTAGCCCTGTATTATTACAACAAATATTTAAAACTTTATAAATATTTAATTTCCCTTCTTTTTTGAAGCCGATAAAACAATCTGTCAATGAATTAGTATTAATTTTAACATCATTGGTCAAGACAATTCTGAATTGTGAACTAATATTGCCCAATAGCGGTCCATTATTATGAGGCTTCTTAAATTCAATAGAATTTGGCAACAAATTATAAGTATTAGGTGCGTTACTAAACTCAAGAATTTCTTGGTATCTATTAATTACTTGCTCCAAAGGTTTTTGGTGTTTACGAACCATTTTTTTTAAGGACTTCATATAGTTTTCGAAAGGAAAACAAGACAGTCTATCTAAAGGGCCAAACTTTTTATAGTCATCAACAATATGAAGAAGTCCATGTACATTGTGAGATATAAATTTCTGTCCATATATGATACCAAATTTTTGAACAAAATATGACAAAAGTTTTTCTACAAAATTAACAAGTTCATCACTACTATTTTTAACTAACAGAATCCTAAAGCAAATATGCAAATACATGAAATGTAAATAGCATTCATTATTTAATATATCTTTTAAAACAATAGGGCCGGTATAAAGTAAAAATAGTCTAAATTCGGTGGCTTTCCATCTCGGCATTTCGTTTAATCCTCTGGGAAATCTAGAAAAATCAGAAGTCATAGAAGATCTTAAAAATAACAAATTTTCTGATATTTCTTGTACTTTTCGATTTTGTAATCGAACAGAAATGGGTGATCCTTTTATATTTCCTAACCATAACATGATTAATTTTTTAACTACCCCTAGGCACGTTAGGTGCATGTAGTCCAAACTAAAACTATACACCATATCAATTTCTGGCAGCTCTGTTAAAATAGATACACTTTCAGTCACATGATACTCTTCATGTATACGACTAATGAAATCTAAATGAGTTTTTTTAATAAATTCTGTATCGGGAAAACATACTCTATTATCTAAATAGGTCCCTTCAACATTACATCTAGTACATGAATAGAAACCATTGTGGCTTTTTGTTTTTAAAATATAACTTTTTGCGGGAGCATCACAGCAAAAAAGTTCGACCACTACTTTTTTTGTACCATGGGGTGTTTTAAAACCGATTTGATATAGTTCATTACATTCATCGACCATGTATTTTAAAAATGTATTACTATCCTTTGCTTTTTCTTTACCCCAATATAAACCAATCAAAAATATTTTAGATTTTCCAGGAAAATTACGTATATATCCTAAAATAGGCCAAAAACAACTCTGAGAACTCTTTGTTAATGGTAAGCCATCAATACCAATAACAATTTTTATTGCTTCATCATTAAATTGAAACCAATCACCCAAACCTCTTAGACCAATTTCAATACCAAAATGATAATATATACCTGGTGTAATAACTTGAATTTGCTTATTGTCAATATTTTTGGTTTTAAGAACTGTTCTAGCATCTACAGGAAAAAAATTAAAACATTTATGTTTTTTTAAAGTTTTTAATAAACCAGAAAAAGCTACGTTAGTTATATTATTTGAAACCGCCCAATTGCCCAACATTTGTAAAATAGGATCTCTATCATCAGACAAATATTCTGCCGAGATGGTTTTACTTTCATCGTCAGAATCAGATGAACTAACATTTAACATTAACTCATCTTCAACAGTTTCAAGTGAACTTAAATTATTGCAAGATAAATTTTTCAATTCTTTACTTACATTAATTAAAGAGCTTTTGGGTTCAATTGAATCACTAATATTATTTACAACACTATTACAAGGTACAATTAAATTATTGACAGTATCTTGAGATTCTAATATATCATTATCAGAATGCACAAAATTATGATTTGAACTCTCAATATACACTTCAGTGATCTCAATTTCTTTCAAAAATCTCCTACGTTTTGTAGATTTACTTGGATGTAATGACATAATTAAAAAAGTTACTAACCTAGCTAATATTTTCTACCATAATTTGAGTACATTAAAACTTTCAAAACTAAAAATAATACCCACTCATGATTAAAATGGTGAAATATGATAAAATAACATTGAGTAAGTATCTAATAATGTGCCATTTTTTAAGGAAGATTATTATAATTACCAGCTGCTAAACGGTGGCTTGACCATTGAATAATTTGCTGTGTATTATAAAATATATCACGGTCCTCTATATCTTTAGGAACCTAAATAGTAAATACAAACAAAATAGAACAATACAGTTAGAATAAATAGGTATTTTATTTTTTATAGGTTAGGTACATGTTAGTAATAAAAAATTGTAATCTGGTAATCTAAAATAAAAAGAATTATACCTACCTATTAATGTTATATTATTTGCTTATTGCTGCATTATTTTTACATAGATGCATAGGTAGTTTTTTGTTGTTGTAATGCCGCAGCGGTCTACCTCAATTTTGATTAAATATTACAAATTATTATTTCTATATGTACGAATTAGGTACTTATTTCAATTAATTATAAAGAATACATGGTAGACCACATTATGTGACGTATAGAAACGTACCGTAAACGGGTGAACAGCATACGCCATACAACAACAAAATGCATAATATAGTTTTAAGTAGTACATACCTGTGTGTATGATATAAGCACAAAAACGCAATATTTTGTGTGGTTGTGACTTGTCTCCACGGACCACGACTACACCAAACGGGCAATGACTAAAGGCTAACACAGTGAATACATAATATACGAGATGTCAAGATACACATAAACACATTAACACGAGGGCTACCGGCCATATTGTAATTGTATAAATTGTATAGATGCGTTATGCGTAGACTGCTGACTGACAGAGACGATAGAGTACGAGACACGGAGAGGACGCGGCAGCGTCGATCGCAGTGGTGGTGGGTCGCGGGTGCGTTCTGGCACTGGATGATGGAAAAACCAGGCTTTAGTTATTTATATAAAATTATCAATTATCAACTACTAGGGTCTACACTCAATTACGAACAGTTCGGTGTGTCGCCGTCGCGGTCGGCATGATGGCATGGATATTATTATTATTATTATTATACTATATAAAATAAACTATTATAGATATTATGATAATCTATTATTATTGTTATCCCCACTGGGAGTTCTAAAAACAAAATACTTCGATAACCGTCGGCATCGGGCCTTGCTCAGCGTACTCCACACGGCACACGAGTACACGACCACATATGCCATATGGCATATTGGCATTATGCATGTGCTTTGGATGGACGGTCGTAATGGTCGTGTCAACTATCAACTATGATTTCGGACGTTTCGGCGGTGAACGCGTATACGCGATAACTCGAATTATTTATAGTGAAACTATTTTTTTTCATTATATAAACCCTATTACTATATAGTAGTATATATTACCAGTAAAGCATATAAAAACAGACTAACAGAGTGCTATCAATACTCCGATGAACTCAGAAAATCCAACATTCCACCCAATAACATGAACGAATATAGTATTAGGGCCACACATTGAAAACATATCAAATATGTTAGTCTTCCTAAGAAAGACCGACTTAAACAATACAATATAAACCTACTATTAATGATAACCCAGCTAATATTATTTCTGTTTGTATAGAAATTAGTAGGTACATAATTACATATAGGACACCATATAAATATTATAAATTTAGTTCTATAGTAAGAGTAACCACTAATAATTATGTAACATACACAAAAACTAATACACAACCTTTGCTGTTGCCTGTTGATGTTTTTTTAAGTTCAATAAAAATAAAAATAAATATATAAATTGCATTATTATCTATATTATATTATAATTTTAAGGTATATGACCTGTGCAAATTGATTCATATAATTATATATACCTATATTTATATAAATTAGGTACATATTGAATATTTTTGCTAGGTGATAAAATTTAACTATATCTATTAATTAATTATTATCTAATTATTATAATAATTAAAAAGGCTGCCACTAATCATTTAATTGTTTATAATCTATATAGTCTATATTATATATTGTATATATTATTTTTTTTTTTTATTGAACGTAAACCCGGCAGCTATGGCCATTAGCTGTATGATTTGTTTGTAGGTGTAATGTGTATTGTATTGTTGGTAGTAGACAGTAGTAGGGGGGAACACGTGTGTGTTGGGTTTTGGCATAATTTTCAATTTGGGCACCCGTAGGTTTCTGCCATGCCCCGGAATGGGGGGATGGCGGCACTTGTTTTCCGGACACCGTGACTTGCCCGGAGAAAAATGCCGCCCGGTGGTCGAGAATCGAACCCGTGACTGCCAGCGCCGCAGCCGACGCGTTAGACCGCTCGGCCACCTCGTCCCCCACTATTGATTTTGTTGATTTTATAATGGAAAGTTTATTAAATATATTATAATCGTTAAGTTATAAAAATATATATCTAAGTTTTTTTTAAACTTATAGTAAATATTTAATTATAAATATTTCATTTTTAATAAATTTTAAATATTTTATAATTATTGATTTATTTATATTTAATATCAAATAT